ATCGGGGGCGCGCGTGCGGGGGAGGACAGGGGGGAGGGGGAGAGAGGGATGGGGGGTGAGGCGGAGGATGGGGGGAGAAGAATCGGGGAGGAAGAGGAGGAGGCGGGGGAGGAAGAGGAGGAGTGGGCGAGGAGGAGGTGGAGGAGGAGGAGAAGAGGGGGAGGACGGGGACACAGAGACGAAACTCTGGGATATGTGCTATTGGTTAGAAACTTGTTGTATGTGTATAGGGATCTCGCGGCACGCCTCTCGGGGACCTTTGGAAAGCAGTTTTGAACCCACCTGGCGGCCGAGGTGGAGGAGGAGGAGGAGGAGAAGGAGGAAGGGGACACAGAAACAAGGCTCTGGGTTATGGGTTTTGGGTTAGGGCCGTCTTGCACCAGCTTGGGACCAATTTGGAGACAGGTTTTGCCGTCTTGGGGTCGTCTTAGGCCGAATTGGGAGGCGTCCTGGGCCGTGTTGGGATTCTCTGGGGCCGTCTTGAGGCCCTCTTGGGGCGCCGTGGGGCGATTTTGGAGGCTCTCTGGGCTACGTGAGCCGACGGAAGCCGGGAAAGGCAACAATTGCAAACATGTTCAACAACGCAATGGAAATGTAATGAAATGCGTAATGTGCGCCTCTTTCAGATGTCCTGGGGGTTTTCTTGGAGACTTCGTGGGCGATAGTGAAAGCCTTGTCGGCCATCTTGAGGCCATTTTGGGCCGTCTTCGAACGTTCTTGGGCCGTGTTGGAGCCATCTTGGGCCGTTTTGGAGCCATCCTGGGCCGTTTTGGAGCAATCTTGGCCTCGAGAGCGCGAATCATTTTTTTGTGCGCAAACGCAACCCCGCCACCGTGCCTGGGTTGTTGATATGAGACTTGTGCGGTGATCGTTGGGATCTCTTGGGGGGCTTTTCGCGGGACTCTTGGAGGCAGTTTCGAAGCCTCTTGGGGGCCGTTTTGGAGCCTCTTGGGGGCCTCTTGGGGCCTCTTGTGGGCGTCTTGGGGGCCTCTTGGGGCCTCTTGGGGCCTTCTGGGGCCGCCTTGGGGCGGAAGGCTCGGATTGTCGGTTCGGGCTCCCCCTCTTGGGCACCTCTTGGGGCCGTCTTGGGGCCCTCTTGGGCTGTCTTGGGGGCCTCTTGGGCCGTCTTGGCGCCCTCCTGGGCCGACTTGGGCGCCTCTTGGGGGCCTCTCGGGGCGGTCTTGGGGTGCTCTGGGACCGTCTTCAACGCCGTGAAGGCCGAGAAGTAGTATGTGATCAAAATGTACGTTTTCCCATAGGAATTGACGATTTTCGGCGCTTCGGCCCTTCTGAGGACTGCTCTTGGAGGCGTCTTGGGCCGTCTTGGAGGCCTCTAGGCTCGTCTTGGGGGCATCTTGGGCGTCTGGGAGCGCTCGTTTGGCGCCTCGGAGCTCTCGTGAGCCGTCTTGGAGGAGTCTTGGGGCCTTCTTGGCCCGTCTTGATCCCCTTTTGGGCCCAAAAGAGCCCCGTGGTGCGCTCGTCTGCGGCCCGGGGGGGGGGGGTCAAATCTCCGGTTTGGGGTCCCAGGGGGGGGGTTAGGGGGGGGGAACTATCTCACACGCCTAGAGACCCACAAGGGGTCGGCGGATTCGATATGGGTTCGTGCGCTGGGCGCATGCTGGATCAGCATGGGCGCACCACGTTGCGAAATGAATATTAGGCGAAATTGGAAAAACACTTATGTCCCGATGGGCGCCCCTATGATTTCAGAAGGTGCGTGCGGTCAGACGATATGCAAGATGTGCGATGGGAAGCCCAGAGGTTTTGCAGTTTTGTAAAGTGGAATGCTTGCAGCAGTTGTATGATTGGTATGATGTCGACACGTGAGCGCTCGTATACAGTGCGTGCCATATGTTGCCAGGGCGGTTTGTAAAGTGATATTATGAGGTGAACGAATGCGCACGACTTGTACTAGCTGACAGGGACGGAGGTGTGTCTGTACCTGGCCTGCCTTGGATGGTATAGTGAATATGGAGAATGAACGATGAGGTGGCGTCATATGTAATTCGGGGTGTCCCGGAGGGACCGGGCAATTGTGGGCTAAGGAGGGGGAGGGGGGAATGTTTCGTCGCGGGCGCTTGCTTGCTCTACCAGCCCCCGCATGACCGACCCTGCGCCAACACCCGCTCCACCCATTGTTCCACCTTGCGCCTCTCCGCCCAACTGGCTCCCAGTCTGCCCAAGCTGACCCTGGTCTGCCGAACCTTGCCCCGCCTGCTCCCACCCGACCACTCCCACTCAGCCCAATTACCCCACTCCGCCCACCACTCTGCCCAAGCCCACGCCGCCCACTCCCACCCCACCCAACCCATTCCAACTCCGCCAATACCCCGCCACACCCGCCCCCACTCATGGGGGTTGGGCCCGTTCAACTCGCGCGCGCGCGAGTGGCCCGCAAGGGCTTCTTATTTGGATGTGGCATTGCGTTCGCGTGGCAAGATAAGGCCCCGTACGTCTTGATCTGGAGTGGGGGGAATGAAAATTTCGATCGGGGGTGAGGTTTCCGCGCTTGCGAGGGAGAGGGGGTGAGGTGTCCGCCTTCCCCCAAGTGCGCCCCGCCTCTCTTCCATATTTCCTCCCTTTTGACATCCCTGTCCTCATTTCCCCCTTGCCACCCGTCCCCCCCCCCACACCCCTGCCGTCCATCATCTCCTGCCTCCTTCCTGCCACGTTTCCACGGCGCGGGCCTACGATTCCCGCCCTCCCTAGATCAATTCTTCACACCTCTTCCGCCGCCCCTCCCCTTTCAAGTCCCTCCCCCTCGTTTTTGTTTATCGATTGCCCCCTTCATCCCCTTGCCTCGTTTCATACATTCCCCAAATTCTAGGCGGATCGTGTAACCCCCTCAGCCCCGGCTCCCGCTTGTCGTTCGACCTTTCTGACGCCGCGTGGGTGCCCGCCTGCGGTCGCAATCAAAAAAGTACCCCCACCAGCCCATCCAGAAACGATGCCCAGCGGAAGTGCCTCGACCAGGGAAGTGGGCAGCACACAGTGGAGTCCCCCAGTGGAGGCCTCTTGGAGCGTCTTGGGGGCCTCTTGGCGGTCCCAGGCGCCTCTTAGAGCGTCTTGGGTGTTTCGGAGAGCGTATTGGGGCATCTTGGGGGTCTTGTTGGGGGTCTTTTGGGGGCCTCGTGGAGGCCTCTGGGGCGCTTGCTGGGGCCTCCTGGGGCCTCCTGGGCGCCTCTTGGGGCCCTCTTGAAGCGCTCTTGGGAGCCTTGGGAGCGCTCTTGGAGCCATCTTGGGCCATCTTGGAGTCATCTTGAAGCCTCGGATGGCCATCGGAAGCGAAAAGGCGAGAAAGCCCAAAACATTGATTGCCCTGAGGTTTTGGAAGGATTTGGGCCTCTTCGGGGCCTCCTGGGGGAGCTCTCTGGCCACTTGCAGCCGTCTTGAAGCGGTCTTGGGGCCTCTTGGAGCATCGTGGGAGTCATCTTGAGGCATCTTGGGATATCTTGAGCCATCTTGGAGGTCATCTTGAGCTCCCCCAGGCGCTCGTGGAGTCATCTGAAACAGTGCCCCGCCCCCAGGAGGCTCAAATGTGACCAAAACCTGAGTAACATCAATGATTGTGGCATTCTCGCCGAGGCCTCTTGGAGCGTCTTGGGTGTCTCTGGGGGGTCCTTTGGGGCCTCCTGGGGGTCTCTTAGGAGCCTCTTGGGGGCATCCTGGGGGCCTTTGGGGGGTTTCTTGGGGCCACATGGGGCCATATGGGGGCCATTTCGGAGCCTCTTGGAGCTTCCTGGGCGCATTTTGGGGCCATCTTGGAGGAGATCGACCACAGGAGGGGGGGGGCTAAATTAGCCCCCCCCCCCCCCCTCAGGAGGCCAAAGTGGGGCCAAAACCTTTGTAAAACCAATGATGTTGGCTTCCTCGCCGAGGCCGTTTTGGACGCTCCAACGCGTCGCGGAACCCCCCGTCCAGGTCTAAGGGGGTGGGGGGAGTGGTCAAGGCTCCCTCCCCGCCCGCAAGCCGTCTCGCTCACTCCCACCCGCCCTCCCAACAGATACGTAGCACCCGAGTCTGGCCCGAGCCTCAGCATATTCAGCAGTCGTCTTTGGAAGGGCAGCTACTGGGGGCCAATCCGCCGCCGCTTCCGCCGCCGCCGCCGCCGCCCCCGTTGCCAAATCGCCGCCGCCGCAGCCGCCGCTGCCGCCGCAGCCGCTGCCGCCACCGCCGCCGCCGCCACCGCCGCCGCCGCCGCAGCCGCCGCCGCCGCCGCCGCCGCCCACGCCCCCGCCGCCCCCGCCGCCGCCGCCACCACCACCGCCGCCGCAGCCGCCGCAGCCGCCGCCGCCGCCGCAACCGCCGCAACCGCCGCCGCCGCCAAGTGTAATTTGTAGTGTTTTTGACAGGGATGGTGGGGAGAGGCCGCATCGGATTGGTTGCGCATGCCCCAAATTCGGAGGCAGAGTGTGTTTTGTATGGTTTTTAGTTTACAAGGGATGGAGAGGGGTGCCCTCATGGTTCTTGGTTGGCTACCAGCCCCCTGAGGGGGTACTAATAAGGAACAGTGATAAACCCCTCCCCGAAAGGGGAAGAGGAAACTCCCTAAACCACCTACGCCCAGAGGGCTGGTGGGATTCCGCTTCTCCTCCCTCCACTTCCTCATGCCCCCTTCCCCCGCTTCCTGTTCTCCCATATCCCATTTCTACCCCTGCCCCTACTCGCTCCTCCCTCACCGATTCGTCCCCCAGAGGTCCCCCAAGAGGCCTCTTGAGGTTTCCAGACGCCTGAAACAAACCGACAACATTCAAAATCGAAGAGGGGAGAAGGAGGGACCGGGCGGGGCTAGGACCAGGATTAATCGTTCCAGAGCGCTGGGTAATGCTCTCAGGGCGTTCCAGAGCGCTCTGGAACGGCCGCGGCGTCCGACACATCCTCCAGAACCGCTGGATCTCAGAGATCCTCGATTTGTTCCGGTCCGATGTTGTTGTCCCCGTGTTGGCTTCGCCTTGGAGGGAAGAGGTCTCCTGTTCTTCTCCCCGCAGGACTTCAGTTGGATGGGCGGCATGCTTTCCATGGGCCTCATGGGCATGATCATGTGGGGTTTCCTCGGCAGCCTTTTCGGCGACGGGGAAGAGGAGGAGGAGGGGGAGGAGGCCGAGGAGGAAGAAGAACATGAGGAGGAGGAGGAGGAGGAGGAGGAGGAGGACGAGGAGGATGCTATCAAAGGGTACTCTTACCTTAGGGGTGGAAGGTCCCCGAGTGGTTGGGCATTGTGCGACCAGCCACCTCTATGGGCCCTGACGGCCAGCAGCGAGCTTCGGAGGAGGAGGGGAAGAGAAGGAGGGGGAGGATGAGGCGAAAGGAGGACAGGGAGGTAGGAGGAGGATGAGGAGGAGGAGGAGGAGGACGAGGAGGAGGAGGAGGAGGAGGAGGGGGCGACGGCTGCACCCCCCCAGAAGACGGAGGCCGCCAACTTCGAGCCCCGAGGAGAGGAGGGGAGGAGGAGGAGAGCGGGAGGATGACGAGCAGGAAGAGTAGTAGAGGCGTGTGGCCGAAGGGCGGAGAGGGCCACAGCTGCCTGACACTTCCGCTCAACGAGCCCTCCCAGCGCTGCCAGGACAGGCCGCTCCATGTGGCTTCCTCTTCTGACTTGTCAGAAGTACGACTCGTACCGTAGAGATCGAGCCCTTCTGGCACAGAAGGAAGCGAGCAAAACGAATAGTAGTCAGGGTCATCTTGAGAAGATGGAAGGCCGGGTAGGTTCCAGACAATCACAGCGCCAAATGTCTAGGATCCTTAGACATGATATGACCACCAGGGGAAACAAGTGGGTCTGCGGTGTAGGACGCATGCCCATACGTGACAATGATTTTGGAAGTGTGGCAAGCTCTGCGCTCAACGTCGCCGAGATCGTCCCCAAAGTACCTCAGCCAGAGACCATGTTCAGCAGGATCGTCAAGGTAGCCAGCACGTCTTCCACATCCCCACTGCAGCACCGAACGTTATAGAGCGTCATTCAGATTCGGAGAGGTGGAAGCCGCCATTCACCGAATACCAACGTCCAGGCTACAAGTGGAGAGTGAGAACTATGATGCGCACTCGATGAAAGTGAGCAGCAGCAGCAGCAAAATCAGCGGATATGTCACAGGCGCAGGAGGCACAGGATATTGTTATTTTCATGTTGCCTGTGTGTGGCGCATCGTGGCTTAATTCGCGTTTCGAATGACCCACCAACGCCGTATCCGGTAGCGCAGTGACACTGCCTAGCCGCAGACGCGAAAGTTCTGTGCTCAAGCCGTTGGGACAGCAGCCTGCCGGCGCCAGACAGATACAAATGAAGCTCGATCAGAAGCACCAAGCCACCGCGAGCAAGGCGAAGGAGCTGGACGTGTTGTACATGTAGCGCTTACGAACAGATCGCCTAGTCCAGGCCCACAGCTCAGAATGCCGAGCGAAGCCTATCATATGAGAGTGCCAACAGCAAGGTTTCATCAGCAGCAAGATGGCCATGCCCATCCACACCCCGACGTGCGGAACCAGGGGCCTTTCAGAGCCCCCCAAAAAAACGTTTTGGCAAACGGGACGAGCCGATGCGGTGGACGCGGATCCGTGCGGTGGTGTTGGGAACGGAAGCGCGCAGGCGCCAGTCGACGAAGGACAAGGCAAAGCCGCACCCATAACACAGGCTCCAACACTCCGGCCAACGGCAGAAGACCTTTGCCGACGCGCCCCACCTGATTATTAACTGTTGCTCCTGGTTTCCTCCTGCCCGGCATAACTTCTGACTCCACACTATTAATGCGATGTAGATTATGGCACTTACACATTTGCGAAGGCGGTCGAACCTGACAGCTAGGCGGGAGAGCATTGGGCGCCGAGGGGAACTCCACACATGCGACGCGACCACCACTTCCACTGACGATCACATTCATGGGCAAAGGGGGCCTGTCGGCGTTTACCCGCGGCCCGCCCGCGACGGGCACGTCAGCAGCAGCAGCAGCAGCAGCAGGAGCAGCAGCGTCGAGAATGCCTTTAGCAGGCCTTTCGCGGCGCCCAGAACGCAGACCGTTCCATTTTTCTTCGCGGCTCAAAGCTTATCAAGACTAGCGGGCAATGGATCATATTACACAGAGCTGGACCTAAATGCTGTTTTACTGGACTTCGGCGGGGTTTTGTTTTTCATTCTGGGGGGGAGGCGCAGGAAAACAGGCACAGCAAAACGAAGAACAAACCGACAAACAATGTTTAGGCCCAGCCCTGGCCGCTGCCCCCCAGCAAAGAGGGCCCCCATTCTCAGCCCCATCAGCCGCCCGACCGGCCCATGCCATGCCCGGACTGCGCGACAGGGCATGGGGGGGCGCTCATAGAAGACGCGCGCGCCAAGGGTCAACGCGCGCGCCGCATCGGCCCAGCTGAAGCCTGGAAGTTGGCGGGAGGAGCGCAAGCCGGAGCTGGGGCGAAGGAAGAGGGCTTAAGGCCTCCCAGTGGAGACCCCGCCCAGCGGTGCCGCGCGCCCCTTGCCCCCGGGAACGGCCCGCCACATCTTCCGCGCGG